CCCCGGCAGCAAGCAGTGATAATGCAGGGAAAAGCGCCCCGACCTTAGCTGCACAGGCGCCCACGGGGCTTCGCCCCACCCCTCCACGTGCCCCAGCACCCTAGAGACCACGCCTGGGAGCTGCGGAGCCCTTCCCTCGAAGAGATAGAGCAGATTAGCCCGGCGGGGCGGTGGCGCTTGCCCCTCCCCTCCCCGCCCCTCCTCTCCCACCCCGGCGGGCCCCCTGCTCTGGGCCCCCTGCGCCTCCCTCCTGCGGCTTGCGAGACTACCCCTCCCTCGTTTGAGCTCTGAGCTCAGAAGGAACCTGCCCGCAAACCTGGCTCCCAGCCTCGCCGGGGGAGCGCATGTTCCTGAGCCCGAGGCCCCCAGCGACTGCAAGGGGCTGGCGGCGCGGGGGTCCAGCTGGGGCGACCCGGTCCCCCTGGCTGCACCCCCGCCTCACAGTCGCCGGCAGCCGCGTGGTGCCACCTGCTGGCCTCCGAGAGGGAGGAGGATGGGACGGTTGCTGCGGCTCTCGGGCTGCCCCTGGGCCCGAGGGTTGAGAAGCATCTTGGCGCTGGGCACTGCGCCGTCAGCTTCGCGGCTGCTGGAAGCAGCAGCAGCTAAAGAGAGGCCTGGTTCAGAGAGCTGCCCACCCGCGCCCATCCCCATCTTTCCTCTAAACCTCGAGTCCCCTGCTTTCTACGGAATGTGTGCCCCCTAACTTGGTTCCTTAGCCTTCCGACAAACACTGACAGTATTCCAGGTGGTGGCCAGCACCCTGAAAACCACAGCAAAGCGGGCTGAGTTAAAATCTAAGACTAAACATGACAGCATTAGGGATGCAGTGGGGAAGAAACAAAAACCACCCAGCTCCAGGGAGGCCACAGTGCCCCAACCAGGAGCCACAGCAGCAAATGTATGAAAAAATTATTTTATTCCAAAACACTGTTTACACAAATGTGTGGTCTCTGTACAAAGTAAGAAAGAATCCCTCTTCTTATCCCCACCTCCCTTCAGAGATGTTTCAGCCTTGGGCTCCCAATCTTCCGCGGCCAGCTGCCCCGACAGCAAGTCCAGCAGCCTCAGAGGGAGGATCGTGAGGTTAGGAGCAAGGCCTTCCCAGACCGCAGCCAGTTACGCAACAGCGCAAGGCCTGCCCTAGGCCCCACCTCCCAGCAGAGTCAAACCAGCTCAGCTTTTACCCCTCACTCCAGATTCCACAGGCACGCGGCACGTGGCTGATCTGCAGCTTGTCTTTCACGGCAATTTTTTTTCCCCGGGCAGGCAAAAGGACCAACCCTGCAAAGTGCCAGGGCCCCTGTCCACCCACCATATTCCTAGACCCAATCTTTTCTTCCTCTTCCTAGACAAGGTTACAAACAGGCAAGGAAAGAAGCTGGGGCCCGACGCAGGGGAGAGGATGCAGATCCCGCGGAACATGGGCAACAGCATCACAGACTTGAATAAAACCCAAGAACAAGCAGCCAAGCAAGGACTAATTCAGAGCAGCTCCGAAGGCCTCACTCAAACTGGGCGGCTCCTCTGTGCTAAGGACATGGACAGGGCCCAGAAGAGCACTCAGAGGGTTCACAAAGAGTCTGAAGTCCACATTCACTAAAGTGTAAAATATTACTCGAAAATGAACCCAGCTTCCCTCCTGAGAGATGAATCAGTTACATCAACATATGAGGACAGATGCATTTACATAGATACACACACACACACAAGAGGGCAAAGCTTCTCACTCCGGAGTGAACTTCAGCTTAGAGACGTTACCCGTCTCCTCTCCCCATCTGAATCATCTCATTCAAATAGATGCTGAGCAGATGAAGCGCACAGGAGGACTAGGTTTGCCTGCATTGAGTGCCTGCAGTGACAGAGGCTTGGTCTCTACCATGACAGAGACAGGCCCAGTGGGCTCTTGGATGCCATGTTCTGAAAAGAGGCCACCGCTGCTGCAGCCACATCCCAGAGTTGCACACGGGAGGCGGGCGTAGCTCATGCACCAGGACACACACACGCACACTCATGCCTGCAGAGGTGTCAGTATGCATAGCCGTATAAACTCACAATGTATACGAACGCTTCCCATTGAATATTGTTTCCAAAGAGAAGCCTGGGATTCAAACATTCATGAGAGGGAGCCTCTGGCAGAGGTGAAAAGACCAGCAGGGGGTGAGAGGCGGGGGTCAAGACTGTCCATCGGTCGGCGTAAGAGTTCCTCCACATGCCTGGCCACATCCATCGTCTCATCCAGGTCGAATTCTCCATCCTGGTCGAGGACAGGGTCAGGGCTGGTAAAGAGAGGGGAATGTCAGGCAGCTGGTGTGCCCCACAGCCTCCAGCCCCCTGGGGACAGCCTCCAGCCTGCTTGCCACTCAAACCTGCCTCATAAAAATAGGACCAGTTCTGGGTGGATGCCCCCGCCCCACCCCAAGCTGAGTAGCAGTCAGCCCCCTGGCTTCTGCAGACCCCCACTCGACTCGCATCTCTTGCTAACTCATGGAATCATCTTAGGGAATTCATTTCCCCTCTCCTTGTCCTCATCTGTAAAACCAGGTGACTGATGCAGTGGGCCCCATCCACTGAGCACCTACAATGGCTGAGCTTTTTTTTTTTCTTTCAGACAGAGTCTCGCTCTGTCACCAGGCTGGAGCGTGCAGTGGTGCGATCTAGGTTCACTGCAACCTCTGCCTCCTGGGTTCAAGCAATTCTCCTGCCTCAGCCTCCCAAGTAGCTGGGATTACAGGTGCATGCCACCACACCTGGCTAATTTTTGTATTTTTAGTAGAGACGGGATTTCACCATGTTGGCCAGGATGGTCTCGATCTTTTGACCTTGTGGTCCGCCCGCCTTGGCCTCCCAAAGTGCTGGGATTACAGGTGTGCGCCACTACGCCTGGCCAATGGCTGAGCCTTTTAAGCACATGACTCCAATTTTTACAGCCACCTGGAGAGTGGGTATTGACCCCATTTTATAGATGAGGAAATTAAGGCCATGTCAGGAAACTTGCTCTGGGCCACCTGGCTGGGAGGTGGTGGAGTCAGGATTCGAACCTGGGATCTTCAGGGGTCCCACTGGAAGGTGGTACTTCCCGGACACACAGCCTGGTCATCCACAGTGAGGGAGGAAATTAATTCTCTACCTTGTTCCCACCAGACTCTTAAGAACAACCACCTCAACAACAAGAACCACTACCCCATTCATAGCTACCTGTATCAAGCCCTTCCAAGCCCTTCACTGTGGAAATGCTTCACCCGCACCATCTCTTTTAATGCTCATCCCATTCTCATGAGGCAGGCATTCTTGCCTCCATTTCACACATAAGGAAACGAGCATCAGAGAGGCTCGATCATTTTCCCGAAGCGGCAGAGTTAGTACCAGAGTGAGGACTGGCTCCTGCTATGTCTAGCTTCTAAATGCTCTGTTTTCCTGGCTGATCTCACTCCTCCTGGACCTGGGCCTAACTAGAGCTCTGGATTCTTTGCCCACTAGCCTTCCAGGGGTCTAGCCTGAGGCCAAGTCCCCAGTTCCTCCCCTACCAACCCCCACAAGAACGCCACCTACTTCTGTGGGTACATGTTATAGTGAGCCTGGGGGCACACGGCTGGGGAGGGGGCCTGGTCCATGTATGTGGCGCTGCTGCCCCCACCGGCATCTGCAGATGCATTCACAAACCTGCAGAAGGAACAGAGCTCAGCCACCAGGGAGGCCGGGGCAGGTGACCTGGGAGGGCACCAAGAGGCATCTTTGACTTTCTTGGGCTATAGAAGGACAAAGTGCCCACTGGCCCTGGGGCTCCAGCTGCAAGAGTGGGGCCTCGGGTACTGGCACAGCGTGACCAAGCCCAGGTCCCTCCCCAGGGCTGAGTCAGGTTTCCTGGGGGATCTGAGAGCTAGGCCCAGGATCAGGATGGGAGGCAGGGTCTGGGGTAGGAGGAAAGAGGCAGAAGGAGAGCCGGAGCCACCTGGACACTTACTCAGGGACCACTTGCTTGATCTGTGGCTTCACGTATCCATCAACGGCTTTAGCTGCCAAGGGGAGAACGTGGTGAGAACCTAAGTCTCTGGGGACTCCCAAGTCAGGTGAAAGCCCACACCCCATACAGTCGGTCTCCTGCCCACACCACCTTGTGGTGTCAGCTGGGATGAGTTTTCCCACGGACCCTCAATAAACACCAGGTGACGAATCCCGCATGAGGGTCCCTGAGACCCCTGGCTTGAAGCCCATCCCTTCTCCTGGTTCCCTTTCTGGCCATTTCCTTTCCCTCTCTCTGCCCCCACCCCTGCCAAAGAAAGAGAATCAACAAGCAAACCCAACCGATGGATCTGGGGCAGCAGCTGGAAGAAGAGACTTCTCCCTTTTGCTGCTGATACCTCACTTGGGGGAAGGTTTGTGAGCGGGGTGTAGAGAGGGCAGCTGGTGAGGTGGGAAGCAGAGCGCTAGCTGTGGGCTCGAATGATCCCGGCCACACCCGACGGCACTGGCAGCCCTTCCTCCAAGGGTGCAGAAGTGAGAATCCAGGCAGCTTTCACTTTGCAGAGCAGAGAGCTGGGATGGGTTTCTCGTTCCCTCTCTTCAACTGTGAGCCCTGAAATCCTCTCCACCGCCCCAGGGGCCAAAACCCACAGGGGACATGGCCCCTGGGCTCCTCCTGAGGAGTCCCCATGGTGCAGCCTATGGCGCAGCCTATGGGCTGGAGAAGAGCCCCAGGTGGGGGAGTCAGGCAGCAGCACCCACCCAGCACAGGAGTATAGTACTTGGAGAAGACCTCATCCTTGGGGCGGTCAGGAAACACATAGATGAGATAGTTCAGGTCCCCCAGCCGGTCAGCCAGGGACCTGATGGAGAAATCCCTCGTGGTGAACGGCTTCAGGTTCCACAGGTTGCGTTCCGCTGTGAAAAGAACAACCTCATTTCCATAATCCACCAGCAGCGGGAGGAGGACCAAGGCTGTGGGGTTTTAAGGCAGGCTTGCAAGGGAAATCTGGGCTTTTATATACTGGCTGGCACTGCAAGCCCAGCCTGTAGGGAAGAACACTGATGCGATATATTCTACTCGGCAAACCAGGTAAGCAGACACCACCACCAAGCCTAGGTCCTGGCAGAGAGGGGTGAGCGGGGAACTGCAGGACTCGTCCAGCGGTCCTGGAGTCTGTGGGGCTGCTGACTTTAGGTTGTCCAAAATGGAAAACGATAGAAAGGGAATACATTTCCAAGCCACAGCCGTCTCCAACTAAGCTTCCCAGTGGGTACCTTCTTTTTTTTTTTTTTTTTTTGAGACAGAGTTTCGCTTTGTTGCCAGGCTGGAGTGCAGTGGCGCGATCTCAGCTCACCGCAACCTCTGCCTCCCGGGGTCAAGCAATTTTCTGCCTCAGCCTCCTGAGTAGCTGGGATTACAGGTGCCCATCATCATGCCTGGCTGTTTATGTATTTTTAGTAGAGACGGGGTTTCACCATCTTGGCCAGGCTGTTCTCGAACTCCTGACCTTGTGATCCACCCACCTCGGCCTCCCAAAGTGCTGGGATTATAGGTGTGAGCCACTGCACCTGGCCCCCAGTGGGTACCTTCTAAGGACAGAGGGCCGATGGAGGTGCGGGGGGAAGGGAATGGGAGACGAGGCTTTGAGGCTGAAATGTGGGCAAAACGGGCACTCACGGGAGTCAAACTTCCAGGCGATGGTGATGCCCCCAATTTCTGAGTCACTAAAGCGCAACAAGAAGGTCCCGTCGGGCTTGTTGATGAGCAGATCATGGGCCTGTTGCTTATTCACAAAACCTAGGATGGCCCTGGGTACATGGAGCATTGAGCATTACCACTGGGCCACAGCCACGGTCATCCTGTGCCCCACAGCTGACCCCTGTCCCTGCGGCCCCCGTTCCTTACCCGTCATTCCAGTGGGGCTTGTGGTGCTTCTTCAACACCTCCATCACCCCATCAAACCACTGCCAGAAGGTGTAGTTCCAGCCCGGCAAGTTCTCCTGAGGACCCAGGAACCCCCGAGTCAGGGCTGGTGCCCCAGGTCACAGGTGGCCCAGGAAAGTCAGTGCCCTCCTGGCCCTCACCCAGCCTTCTCCCAGTTCCTCAACCCTGTTGGCCACCACACTCCTTCAGACCATAAAGCGACACGGTCCCCATCTTGTACTCTAGGGACCCAGGGAGGAAACTTGCTTCTAAGACACAGGGGTCTAAGACTAGCCAATGGTTGGGAGTAAGAGGTATACAGAATAATCCAGGCTGGATGCGGCCTCCAAAGTCATCCCTTCATTTTATACACGGGAAAACGGAGGCACAGAGAATATATAGGTCTCCAAAACTAGCAAGGAAAGAGGCAGGAGAGCCAGTGCCATGGGCGTGGTGGTTCACGCCTGTAATCCCAGCACTTCAGGAGGCCGAGGCGGGTGGATCACCTGAGGTCAGGAGTTCGAGATCATCCGGACCAACATGGTGAAACCCCATCTCTACTAAAAATACAAAAATTAGCTGGGCGAGGTGGTAGACACCTATAATCCCAGCTACTCAGGAGGCTGAGGCAGGAGAATCGCTTGAACCCAGAGGCAGAGATTGCAGTGAGCCAAAATCATACCACTGCACTCCAGCCTGAGTGACAGAGTGAGATTGCGTCTCAAAAAAATTAAAAAGAAAATCAGCAAACACATCCAGGCCCAGAACCCAACCATCCTGACTGCCAGCCCTGGGGCCCTCCATCATCTGGCTCTGGCTTCACCGCTGAGCGCAATTCCTGCAGCCCCTGTCTGCATCTCTTGGGGCTAGGGGACCCCTTCTCTCCTGGTGGTAGGAGAGGGTGGTTGGGGGTGGAGAGGGGGTGCTAGCCTCAGGCAGCAACCTGTCTGTGAGGAGGAGGAGCAACAGGCCCCGGTGGGCCTTGGCAGGTGGCTGGCGGCCGGGCCCCTCACCCTGTTGAACTGGGACCAGGACACGGACAGGCCGCTGTAGTCCTCCAGGTGGCTGCTGCTGTTGTTGAACAGTTTCTGCGCCAGGAACACGAGGTTCTCCTTGGTCAGGCCCCGGTTGCTCTGCACTTCGGCCTTGAATTTCATGTTGAGCGCCTCACACAGCTGTGGCCACAGCACTTTGTCAGGCACGGCAAATGGCACTCTGCCCTGTGGAGGAGAGAGGGAGAAAAGGTAGATTGAGGGCGCTGGAACTGTACACACACACACACTACACACACACACACACACACACACACACACACACACACACGAGACATGCAGATACCGAGAGACAGAGGAGACTGAGACAAATCTAGAAAGGTGACACAAACACACGGGCAAGAAAAGGGTGGCGGGGTGGTGGCACTCAGGGACAGAGACGCAGACCAGGGGACAGAGGACAGACAGCAGGGACCCAAGCCATCTGCCAAAGGAGGATCCCAGACCAGGATCCGAAGACCAAGGTCACAGACCTCACAGACCCCCGTCCAGGAACCTGGAACCCAGACAGAGCACCAAGGCCACGGCGGAAGGCAGGCGCCCTGTACCCCAGCCCTTCCAGCCTCTCCTCACCTCTGGGCTGGCCCTGGGGTGAGGAAGGACTGCTTAGCAGGGGCCCAAGGTGGGGGGCTGACCCTAGGTGAGTCCTAGGGCCTGGAGGGCCGGGGTGGGGCTCCCATGGGGACTCACCGGCTCAGCAAAGGCATTGTCCCACAGCACGGTGGCTGTGGCATTGTGGTCCTGGCTGCCGTGGACGATGACAACCACAGGTAGGGACAGAGTCTACAGGAGTCAAAGGAACCTCAGTTGATGGGGGCTGACCACCATATGCCCTCTGATTAGGCAGCATGCCCAGTCCACTTTATTTTTTTCAAGACAGGGTCTCACTGTCACCCAGACTGGAGGGTATTGATGCAGTCACAGCCCACTGCAGCCTTGGCCTCCTGAGCTCAAGTGATCCTCCTGCCTCAGCCTCCAGAATGCCTGAGACTACAGGTACATGCCACCATGCCCAACTTTTTTTTTTTTTTTTTGTAGATACAGGTTCTCACTGTGCTGCCCAGGAAAGGCTTAAACTCCAGACTCAAGCAATCATCCCTCTTCTGCCTCCCAAAGTGCTGGGATTACAGGTGAGAGCCACCAGACCGGGTACGAAGCCACTTTCCTCACCCACAGTTCCAAACACAAGCCCCTCCCAACAAATTTAAGCATAATCAAACAAACAAAAACTACAACGGATTTCTTCTTAGCCCATTGCCCCAATTATCTGAGTTAGTCTCAGATTATAACCTAGCAAGCAGGTACCCACAGAGTCAAAGCAGGCTGCCTAATAGCATTGCTGCCAGGAAGCCCCGGGCAGGCCCCTCCCCTCTTGGGTGAGCTGGTGCAGTGAGGGCAGGAAGGCTGGGGCCTTACCTTCACCTGGAACACAAGCTCATTGCTGCCAACACTGAATTGAGACTCAAACAGGACCGTGAACTTCTCCTCCGTCACGGACTCTGCACCCCGCCGGTCAGCACGCTTGATCCTCTTCAGTGACTGCAGGGCAGGAGGCGAGAGGGGAACAGGGACACGGTGGCTGCTTATAAGGACGGGGCTCTGGGCAGACCTGCCCTCTGAGAGTGGGCCCCGTCCTCACCATGTTCCTGAAGTGGGCACTGAGGGTGCCGGTGGCTTGGTGGTACTCCATCACACAGCAGTTGTTCAGGATCTCACCGCTGCACTCGCTGCAAAGGAAAGGGGAGTTCCAGCTCCACACAGGGCCCCAGGCCAGGAGCATGGTCCCGTCCATGCCCTGGGCGGGGGCCTTCACTCAGGTCAGCCCTGCCAGCAGCCCCTGACCCCATCCCCTAAGAGTGTTTCTCAGTGTCTTTCTGGGTGACTGACTTCTCCATCAACCTGGTGCCCAGCACCCCAAGGCAAGGCCTCCCATGGTGAGGTCTGGACCTATCATTAGTTTGAAATTCCTCAGGTACCAAGATTGATGTGAGGGGCTTCAGGGACTTCCAGTACCTTCTAGGGCACTTAAAGTAAAAACCACAAGCACAGCCTGTGAGGTGGTCAACACCCACCCACCTACCTGGCCTCAGCAAATTCCTCTCCCGTCACTCAGGACACCCAAGCCCTGCTGGGCCTGGCTGTCTGCCGAACATGCCAGGCTCGGACATTGGCACTTGCTCCTCCTGTCGCCCCAAACACTCTTAGCCTTCTCCTTCAAGTCTCAGCTCAGATAGCTCCCCAGAAAGGCCTTCCTGGACCGCTTATCTGGTGAAGCTTACCAGGCTGGCCTTCCCTTACCCCTGCCTTGAACACATCTCCGACGCTAGCAGATGGCTTGTCTTTTTTTTTTTTTTTTGGAGACGGAGTTTTCGCTCTTGTTACCCAGGCTGGAGTGCAATGGCGCGATCTCGGCTCACCGCAACCTCCACCTCCTGGGTTCAGGCAATTCTCCTGCCTCAGCCTCCTGAGTAGCTGGGATTACAGGCACGCGCCACCATGCCCAGCTAATTTTTTGTAGTTTCAGTAGAGACGGGGTTTCACCATGTTGACCAGGATGGTCTCGATCTCTTGACCTCGTGATCCACCCGCCTCGGCCTCCCAAAGTGCTGGGATTACAAACGTGAGCCACCGCGCCCGGCAACTTATTTTTTTTTTGAAACAGAGCTTTGCTCTTGTTGCCCAGGCTGGCGTGGAATGGTGCCATCTCGGCTCACCACAACCTCCACCTCCCAGGTTCAAGTGATTCACCTGCCTCAGCCTCCCAAACAGCTGGGACTACAGGCACGCGCCACCACATCTGGCTAATGTTTGTATTTTTAGTAGAGATGGGGTTTTGCCATGTTGGCCAGGCTAGTTCTGAATTCCTGACCTCAAATGATCCTCCTGCCTCGGCCTCCTGAAATGCTGGAATTACAGGCGTGAGCCACCACGCCCAGCCTAGATTGCTGTCTTAACTTCCTGCCAGCATCTATGGCTGGTTGGCCCTGCCTGATCTTTTTTTTTTTTTTTTTTTTTTGAGACAGAGTTTTGCACTTGTCAGGCTGGAGTACAGTGGTGCAATCTTGGCTCACTACAACCTCTGTGTTCCAGGTTCAAGCAATTCTCCCACCTCAGCCTTCCAAGTAGCTGGGATTACAGATGTGCACCACCACACCCAGGTAATTTGGTATTTTTAGTAGAGACGGGTTTTTCCCTGTTGTTAGGCTAATCTCAAATTCCTGACCTCAGGTGATCTGCTTTCCTCAGCCTCCCAAAGTGCTGGGACTGCAGGCACAAGCCACCGCACCTGGTAGCCCTGCCTGATCTTTTAAAGCGCTGCAATGCAAGCTCAAAGGCGGTGAGAAGCTCACTTGTCTTCATCTTCACCCCAATCCCATGGTAGGCACTCAGTAAACATTTTTTTTTTAACAGAGTCTTGCTCTGTTGCTCAGGCTGGAGTGCAGTGGCACAATCTTGGCTCACTGCCACCTCTGTCTTCCGGGTGCAAGTGATTTTCTTGCCTCAGAGTAGTTGGGACTACAGATCCAAGTAGCTAGAGCTACAGGTATGTGTCACCACGCCCGGCTAATTTTTGTATTTTTAGTAGAGACGGGGTTTTGCCATGTTGGCCAGGCTGGTGAACTCCTGGCCACAAGTGATCCGCCCGCCTCCACCTCCCACAGTGCTGGAATTACAGGCGTGAGCACCACACCCGGCCTCAGTAAACATTTTTAATTGGATGACAAGGGATGAGGCCATGTCTTCCACATCACTCATTCACTAACTCATTCATTCACCCACTGCATACATTGTGGGTGGCCTGACACTGGACACTGCCTCCCCATTCTCTGCCACACACGACTTCTCTGCCCTCTTTCCTCAGGACGAGGCACGAGGGCTCTGCCTGAAAGTCCTCTCTCTCTGTGACTTCCCTCCCTATCACCAGCTACCTCCAATTCCACCAGGGGCCTAATACTGTCATTTCATTAGTCCTGCACCATGATCCCTGGTGCCCTACACATCCCCGTCACATGGCTACAGCCTCTGCCTGCTCTGCTGGTCTAGGGGCTGGGGACAGCCCAGTTCTGTTGGGGTCACAGTGGCATCCTCAGTACATAGCACAGGTTCTAAACACGGCAGTAACGCCGTACTTTGTGTGATCTTCTTGGAGACAGGTTCTCATTCTGTTGCCCAGGCTAGAGTGCCATGGCGGAATCATACCTCACTGTCATCTCAAACTCCTAGGCTTAAGCCATCCTCCCACCTCTGCCTCCTGAGTAGCTGGTACTGCAGAGGCGTGCACCACCACATCCAGCTAATTTTAAATTTTTTTTGTAGAGATGAGGGTCTCCCTATGTTGTCCAACTCAAACTTCTGGGCTCAAGTGATCCTCCCACCTTGGCCTCCCAATGTGCTGGGATTACAGGCCTGAGCTACCGCATCTAGCCTAGCACCATACTTGTTGACCTACTATGTGCCAGACACAGGGAGGAAGGGCAGTGTCCATCTATCCTAGGCTTAATGATGCTTTGACATGATCGTTTGAATTTACAATAGTGCAAAGCGATACACTTTCAGGAGAAGGTGGTGTGATAGTCCTTCACAATGCTGGGCAATGAGCCTCACCTCTCTGGCAGCCACACCATCTCCAGGGTAAAGAGCTGATACTCAGCTGGGCGTGGTGAATCACGCCTGTCATCTCAACACTTTGGGAGGCTGAGGTGGGCAGACTCCATGAGTCCAGGAGTTCGAGACCAGCCTGGGTGACATAGTGAACTAGGAAACAAGACATGTCTGGATGCGAGGACAGAGAGAGGAGGTGCACGTTGCCCACACCTGAGCCTGGGCAGGGGAGGGGAAAGGCACAATTACTTGCGGGTGTTTTCGTTCTTCAGCAGAGACTTGGCCTGCTGCTCACTGATGATGGTCGCCTTCACCTGGGGGGGGTTCATGTGCACGTTCAGTTTCCCGCCCACCAGCAGGCGCACGGTGGCTGCAAATTTGGTCTGGGTCTTCAGGACCTGAGGGGGCTGCTTCTCAATGATGAATGTGCTGCAGGGGACACAGGGACAGATGCACGATGAGGGGCTGGCTCACGGGAAAGGGGTCTCGGTCCCTCTGTGGTGGGAATGGGGCCGCCTCCCGAGGGACTCAGCAGGTGAAGAAGAGCACGGCACAGCCTCTGTTCCCAAGGAAGCCGTGAGAGTCCAGGGAGAGGCTGGAGAGGGGGAGTGAGATGAATGGAGCAGCTACCATGGGCTGCCACCCAAGGGCATCCCTTGCAGTGTCTACAAGAGAAACTGAGCAAGAGCGGCGCCCAGCAGCCACAGGAACTGGAGACGGAGTGGGGAGGGATGAGAGGCAAAGAGAGACAAGGATGAAGGTGCAGCTGCTGGTCTGGAAAGCACCTGCGGCCCCCCACACGCCCACTCCATGGGAGCTGCCACAAACCCCAGGCATGGCCAACAGGCAGCTGTCACCTGGTCACCAGGGCTGAGATGATGTCCGTGATGGTGGCGTTGACCTCGGCCAGCATCTCCTCCACTGGGCCGGGGATGGGCAGCTGCTGGCAGAGGTGCTCAGCCCTGCGGATCTGCTGCCGGTTCTGCCAGATGATCTCGGCCAACTTCTCACACCTGCACGGAGCCCCAAGGCCAACAGGACAGTGGCTTCTCTGCACAGACTCCAGGCCAGAGCCCAGCCCCAAGACACGGCTCCTCCTCCCACAGGAAGGTCTCCCCCAGGAAGGCTTTGTGCTTTCCCCACACTTCCCACCCACAGCAAGAGCAGAGCTCCCTGCCTCAAAGAATTAGAGACGTTCACAGGAGGGGACCCTGGACCCTGACTAGGCCCAACCGGTCTGAACGTCACTCTGCACACCCGAGCCCTGTCCTACCCCCAGGACAGCAGCCCCCTTCCTGGGGGAGGTGGCACAGGACGGTGGACCAAAGTCTGAATCAGGACCTACACCCCCTACAGAAACAAGAGCTGGACAGAGGGGGTCTGCTGCAGGAGCCAGCGCAGGAGGCAGAAGCAGTCGGGGTCCCCGCAGCCCCTCCTGCCCTGCCCGTTGGCCGCCCTACACCGTTACCAGGACTGGAGCACGTCCAGGCTGCCCTCGGGGGGCCCGCCGTTCCCGGCCAGCTGCTGCCGCCGCTTCCACTGGATCAGCTCGTCATCCAGGATGATGGTCTGTTGCTTCCGCAGCAGCTGCAGGGTCTTCTGGTGCTTCTCGGCCAACTCCTGAGGGAGGGAGGAGAACAGCCCCTTCTGGGCCCCCAGAGAACCCCGCAGGGCCTCACTGGGAAATGGCAGGGCAGGACCCAGGCCCTTCCCCCTTGCCAAGCTGCTCTGCCTCGCATGGCCCCCAGGTAAAAAGGCCTCCTGCCCTCCCAGGTTCTGCTCTCATCCCGGTCCCAGCCCTCCCTCGGGTCCCCAGAGACTGGCTTTGTGGCACCCATGCCCAGGAGAGGTCCAGGACCCCACTCACCAGGCGGTACTGCTGTAGCGTCTGCGCCTCGCGCTGCAGCCAGGCCTCCAGGGACACCTGCTTCTGCTGGAGCGCCGTCTCCCGGCTCATACGCTCCTGGGGGCTCAGCTGGCCCAGCGTGGCAAACTGAGCTAGAGGAGGGGACAGGGCACCATGGCCGTCACCTCCCAGCATCCAACAGGAGGCCCAGAGGAGCCCACTTGCTCGTTCTGGAGCGAGACCCTCCTGGGCTCAGATGCTGCTTCAAGGGCAAGTCAGGGTTCCTAACAGCCAGGGGCACCAAGACGAATGTGTGCCTCAGGAGGCACCTCTGGGCCCTACTCACCAGCCTCCTGACTCTGAGCGTCCCCTCTGGGGGCACATGGGGTGCTGGGGCAGCTGGGGAGGAGTCCTGCCTGTCTCCTGCCCACCTGCCCCAAAAGGCTGCCAGCACTCACGGCCTGGCGGCAGCCCCCTGAGGGTCCATGTCACCCTGACCCCAGCCCTGCCCCATAGGATGCACAAGCTGGGAGAGACAAAAGCAACTCAAGGCAGCCAGGAGCAGCCCAGAGCTAGAACTCCAAAATATGGCTCCAGTCTCACTGCAGGTATCCAGCAGGAAGACAACCATCCAGGCATGGACGGATCCACGGCGTCTGCACGGCTACCTCGGGAATCCTGCCCAGCCACAGCACAGGTGGTGGTGATCCAATACCTGGGCCCAGTCTTCCTATGCAAGGGACCCACTTAGATCTCTGCTGGAAATTTGCAGAAGCTTTCGGGAAGGAAGCCAGGGAGATGGGAAGCAATTTCCCTACTCCGCTGGGGGCAGCTGAGCCTTCCCTGACACAAACAGATCATCAGTCTGTGTTTCTGCTGAGTGAACTTGACAAACGGGACTGAGGAGACATTGCATGATGGATCCAAACCTAATCCATCACCGTGCCCAGGAAACAGAAAACCAGGTGCGGGATCAGAATCACTGTCAACAGTCTAAGGACTTGGGTAGGAAGAACAGCCCACAATCTCCCGTTTCCTTTCTCAGAAGGAGCTGCCCTTTTTCTAGGGCCAGTCTGGGATAGATTCAGATGAGGGGAAGTTCTTTTAGAATTATCCTGCCAGTATTGGCTGGGTGCAGTGGCTCATGCCTATAATCCTAGCACTCTGGGAGGCTGAGGTGGGCAGATCGCTTGAGGCCACGAGGTTGAGACCAGCTTGGCCAACAGATCAAAACCCCATCTCTACTAAAGCTACCAAAAAA